CGATTGAAATACCAAAGGACCATCACCTATCTATTTCATTGCAATGCAACTCTTCTAATCTATGTTTTAATAAGTTTCGCTGCTTAGTGTGGTTGCATATTTTCTAAATCTCCGCCTGTTTCGTAACAGAGGATTTGGACAAGGTCTCCTGTCACCACCATTTTGTGATTCAGGTATGTAGACGTGATACTTAGACATTGTCCAACTATTGCAGAACCTCCGGTGTCCACTCAATATGCCAGTTAATCCTCTAATTAATCATGTACCGATATTACGAATCGCCATTGCATTGGGTTCTTTAGAGGCTAAAATTCGGAGACAACACAAAGAATCCTAAAAATACTAATCTTTGTTGATACACGTGATTCTGCTCTTACCATAGAACAAGTATAATTACAATTTGCCTTGGATTAGAAAAATATTGTTAGAAAAGCTTGAACTGGTTTCAGATACTCCCTTTTGCTTAGATTTATTTGCTGAAAACTAACAGTAGTTTCATTCATACTCAGATCGTAGCTTGCTGGGCTTGGAGAGAAGGAATTATCCTTAAGACATTTTGGCTTGAGTACTTGACGTATATATTTTAATAATAGATGTAAGCTAAGCTGTAGTACTAGTTTGGTTATTTAAGAGATTTCGGTGCAAGAAATGTCAGGTTCACGAAATATACATTTCCAAGTTGTTTCCTTCTATGATAATGTACACTATTTTTCTTCTTGGATTCCTCTGGCTCTTGGTTGCTTCAAATATAGTTGAAACGCTTTAATCTTGATTCTTGATGATGGTACAGTTGCAGGACTTTTATGTTTAAAAACAAAGATCCTTGAATCTAGTTCCACTTTTGGCTGCAAAATAAATCCCCATACGACATAATTTTTGCCTGGTTACCATTTCCTTTTGTATGGTCTATGGGTTGGGTCTGTTTCCAAGGCATATACGGGTAATTGCGCTTTTTGATGCACACAGAGATTAATGCTGTTGGATTATGTTTATAAATAGCTATTAGCATGATTGACAATATTGTGTTCAGTTTTTTTGGGATTCTAAACTTTATGTTGTGATGTGACAGCTTCTAGAGTTGACACAAAGTGTAACTCAACTGTCTCCTCTGAAGGTTTTGGATAAGATTGATGATTCACTACATAAAAGTAGTAAGCCATACTGTCCTCCGCACTGCTACAAGGTCTGGTCAGCGTTCATTTTTCCTTTTGCTTATATAGATTTGACAAAGCTATAAGTAACTACTATAAATCTAGCAAGAATCCTAATATAATGTTCTTTTTAGGGACTATACGAGTCATCTGGATTTCTAAATTCTGAAAGTCCATGGTAAATCTTATTCCTGATGTTGGTTTTGTAAAATTATCTTTCCAGCTACTTCACTATCTCTATAGGTTGACATAATTCTAGCTTAGATGGCAGTTTTCCTATTATCAATATGAGAAATCCGTTCTACACAAACACAACAATGTTAGTTTTGCAAATAAAATTTCAGTATCAAATGAAGAGAAGTCATATGCAGATAAGGCCCGACTGTCCAAGGAAGATAAGAGGCGTGTTAATAAAAACAAAGATCGTGACAAATCTTTGAAGACATTTTTGTTGTCATCATCATCAGGAAACTTCAGTAACTTGCAATATCAAGTGAAGCCACTGAGCAGATGGATGCTCCTCATAAATCATGTTTGATTCAAGAAATTGTTAAATGCAATGTCCATCAACCAAACATCGTTCTTAGGATTGCTAAAAGTTGTTCAGATGAACACCAACCACTGCAAGATGATTTTATTAACAACCCAGTAAATCTGCCTCTCAAGTATGTAAAGCATATGGATTCTTATCATAATCTTTCATTTTTAGAGGGTTTTCACCATAAAGAGTCAGAAGCATGTTCAAGCTTAAGTGCAGGACATCTAGATAGAATTCTTGGAGTAATGGAATTCTATGAGAAGAGCATATTGCCAATTTTCAAGAAGAATCGTTTTGAATTGGGAAAAGGTGCAAAATGTGAGGTCTTGGAGGGCTCAGTTTCCCCTCCTGTAGAAGATGATAAACTGTTTCTTTCAATGGTTGTTAAGTCAACCATGGTCCATGGTAAAGGCAATTTGTTCTTGAATGGTGTCGATCAAGCTATTTCACTTAGCATGAAGCAAAATTCTTCAACTTGTGATTGCCAGATTCTGCAGGACTTAGATCTAAATACTTGCAGGAAGTTAGAGGAAAAATCTAATTATAGCGTCGATCATTGCTTGCTTGATGAGGACAGTTTTATTACATTTGATGAACCACGCTTGAAGCCTGACGAGCAAAATTGGGATGCAGTTGATGGATTCATGTCTAGCCCTGAGAAGAGTCCAATTAAAGATAGAATGTGTACACAAAGCTTACCTGGTGATATGATTCTAAAGCTTGTGGAAGATATATTCGATGATGAAAGTTCTCCTGCACCACATTTGCTTGATCCGAAAGTGTACCATAATTCTGGACTTTCTACACAATAGTCAGACTGCAGACGTGCGATTATGTCATTATCAACTAAGACCAGGATGGGATCGACAAGTTCATAACACCTTCCTGAGAAATTCTACTGATTCAGCCACACATTCTTCGCTAATCCACCACTATTTACCATCAAGCGCTATTTCTCAACCATTCCATCTTCTCCATGATAAAATGACAAATTTTGATCATGCTGCTCCTTCGATGGTCCAGCAGATGAAAAATCTAGGCCAATCTTATCTTTCCTTATTCGGTGGATCCCTACAAGGAGTGACACCTAATCTCTCAATGCACTATGGGTTCTCACGCACACTACTGAACTTATGTATAGTTTTACCTTGGTGCACCAGGAATCAAGTCATGAGAGTTTTACATGACTGACACCAGGTAAGAAAACATTATATACATTTTTTATATTCACATTTTATTCCTGTTATATAAGTACTGATGGTTAGGTATCGTAAAAGTAAAATTTCAGTTTTAATTTGATTGGTGTCTGATCCTATCCCATGCATCATTAGGTTATGCTAATGGAAACGGTAATCAAGCATGGCCTTGGCATACCTTTTGAGAGCTTTCTAATGGAACAAAAATGTCAATTGGCTGGTTTGTTTTTCATACTTTCTAGGTCATTTGTCATTAAACAGTCTAGTAAATATCAGTCTTGTAATGTTCCATTGAATTAGTTCAGATATATAGTAGACTAGTTTATACAAACTTCATCAAGTAGATAATTGGAATAGTCGAAAAAATACTAGACTATACGGTGGAGTCGTATAAATAGGACAAATTACATGTTGCAATAGGTAAAAGTTAGAACGCAGTAATTTCCTTCACTATGTGACAGACCTTAAGCATCATAACTCTACTGTGATATTTGATGCTTACTGCTATTACCATGCCCTCTAAGTAACTAAAAGCATTTACTCATTCTAGAACACATAATCACTCTTCAATGTTTTGGAGTAGTTATACACACACATTTTTTCTTCATGAGAAAGTAAATCATTTATTCCCAAAGTTTTGATTCGGTTGTAATCTCTAAAATAATTTGCATAATTAGGTATATGTAGTTTTGACTTAGTGGAAATCGATTCCTATAATTTTAGCCATTTAAAACATTGGCCTATGTGTTTCAAATAATAATTTGTCTTTATAGTTCTATTTTCTAAAATGTAGGGACCCATATTTTATTTGAAGGGAATTCTGCAAAGAAAAAATGGATTATGAGAGTGTGTGACTTGAACTGTTGACTGGCCGCACGAATATCTGACTTTATCTTATCCGTCACATTTGAATTCACAATGAAATGTGTCTTTATTCCAACCACCTCGCAAGTACCCTACAGAGGATAGCTGGTTCGCCTGAAGAGAATCTTTTTTTATGATCAAATGGGTTCAAATCTTAGAGAGAACACCTTTAAATAGGGATACATATCCTCTCCAAATCCCTTCCTCTTTTCCTCTCAAAATCCTATCTCCACTTTTAGATTAAAATGAATTTGAATTGTTAAAATTTGATCCACAGAGTTTACAATTTTATATAATTATTAAATTATTTTATAAATTTAAACTTTTCTATAATTTTTTCATATTATAGTTTTGAAATGTGCAAATTGAATTTAAAAAATTGAAGTTTATTATTTATTTTTTTGTAGTTTTACAAAATACTAAATCTAAGTCATTATTTTTTAATATAAAAATAGAGATGAGATTTTGAAAAGAAAAAAAGATAAAGGAAATTTTGAGAGGGTCTAGGTGATTTAAAGGAGGGTCTACCTAACCACTAAATAAAATCATTACTATCTTTTGTTATAATTTTTATTTCACAACAATGTTATTCAATATGAAATTATATATTAAATACTCCTCCGGTCCTAAATATAAATCCCTTTTACACATTAGTATAAAAGTCTTATATTTAAGACCAGTGGGGTACTTTTTTATTATATTAACAGAATTATATTCGAGAGGCCAATGAAAAAGACAAAATGTCACGGTGTCCAAACTCCGAACGCGAAGCATTCAAGTAGCCTTCTGGTGGGTTTAGCACTAGGCCGTACCCCTGCTCTTTCAAGTAGCATTCAAGCATTCAAGGTCAGAACTAGGCCATACTCCTGCTCTTTCAAATTTCCTTCCAAGTCCGAATGAATATTATTGTTTCGATTCCCTTTGCATTGACTAATATATCTGTTTGATGACTTATTTGCTGACAAAAAATAGTGTTGAAGGTGGAACTACACGGTGAAAGAACCAAGCAAAAGGTCATGAAAACAACCTCAGGCATTTCAGGTATATATATTCTCTATCTCCTTTATGCAAATCCTGAGTTTTCAGTCTTCTAAGTAAGAAACTCATGTTGGTTAGAGTTTTAAATTCAATTTCATTAGTATTTGGAGTAGCTAATTGGACAGAATACTGTATGGCTGTCATAGCAAAGGAAAAAAATTAACTGGTTTGATTTGGTTTTGTTTTGCACGAGTTGAGTCAATAAATGTAAACATGAAGGACAAAAAGTTAATCGTAACAGGAGACATTGACCTAGTTAAGGTGGTGGAAAAGCTAAGGAAGTTGTGTCATACAGAGATAGTATCTGTTGGAGTAGCTAAAGAGTCTAAGAAGAAAGGAGATAAAAAGATAGAGAATATAGCTAAAATGATTGTGCCTGCTCCTTTGAGTTATAACTATGTTTATTATCCTCCAACTTATTATGTTGGAACTGTGAAAGAGTATCCTAATAGTGGCTGTGTCATATGCTAAATTTTGAACTTATGTTTGTGTGGAAGAAAAAATAAAGAGAAAGATAAGGAAGCATATGGTTGCGATGATAGATATGTAGGGCTTTGTTTTTTTTTTTTTATATATAGAGAACAAATATACATTTATAAAGATGTTGTGGGCTTTTATATTTTCCCCTCTTGGATTTGGATTGAAAGTGACGTGCTTGAAGGGATCAACCTAAAATATTATATCAAAATCAAAACCAAGCTGGGTTGTTTTCATCTTCATATTGGCTCCTCACTCAAATTACTGTGCAATGAACAATATCAACTTATGAACAGTGCTGGCTTCTTGCATGTGGCTTCGTGCTCTCATTTTGTTTTGTTTTTGTTTTTGTTTTTTTTGTAAAAATTTGTGCTTAGTGTTTCAAATTTCAAAATTCCCCCATCCTCTGGCCTTCATCTTTTCTTCACTTTTTTACTCCTTTTCTCAGACATCTGCTTCTCTCTCAACTTCCCCCCCTTCCAAATACAGATGGAAGCTTCAGCCTCCTTCTTTTTCTTTCACTTAGATTGAAGAGTCACCACTGCTTCTCCTTCACTTACAAACACTCTATGCAAGCTTGGAGTTCACCATCTGTGACATCCCTCTTGTTAGCAACCATTGGGTGAGGATGCGAGCGCATGGTGGTTACAGTGTTGTGCATAGTTGCTGCCATAGCTAATAAATTAGAAAGGTCTTTCTTTCCTTTCCTTTCCTTCTTCATCTTTTTCTTCTCTATTTTTCCTCATCTTTTTTTCCCATCTTTGTTAGATTCAGTTCTCAAATTTTGCTCCGTCTCAATTTTAGAAGAAATTTTCAGGCATGCCTTTGTTACTTTGAGTAGCTCTTAGTGTTTGATTGATTACTAATAAGTTCTGAACACAACAATGGCTTAATATGAATTGTTCGATTTGAGCAAAAAAAAAAATCCAGGGAAGGAGGAAAGAATGAGATAAGAGGTTTCAAAGGTGTTAATTTCTCATTTTTATTTTTCAAGGTCTGCTTGCTACTCACTCTCCATACCTCCGTCTCCTTTCTTATTTTTTTTCCATTAGATATGTACTATTTTCTCTTAGGAAGCAATTGAAGCTTCTTGAGCCTCCTTACTAATTAATGTATCTCAAATCTTTCTTACTTGAGTGAATCAGACTGGGGTTGCTTGACACTGTCATTGACTCAAGATGTCTTCTTTAGAGAATTGAAAAAGAGGTAGAAGAAAATACTCTGTTAGTTTATATATTTATTTATTTTTGGGTTATATGTTATTTGATTATATGATTCTTTTGTATGCATACATACATATATAAGAGTGTGTGTGTGTTTTTGGTGAAAATAATATATGTGTATATATTGATTATTGACATGGATGTAAATGTATTAGCAAGTTAAGGCATTTACCTCCAGTATAAATATATGTACTATTGACTGACTCATTTATATAGAGATTTTAAATTGTTCCTCAGAGGTAGATTTGTGATGTGAAATGATAATGTATTTGATTGGTAATAATATATTAGTTGATCGGTTGTTCGAGTTGTTTTCTTTTTATTTCTTCTTCGGTTCTTCAAGTCCACTTCACTAACAGGCTCAATCGTTTATGCTACTAACATGTTGCTATGAATTTCTACACAGTATGCTCTTGTGAAGAGGGTGCAAGGTAACAGCTAAACCATATTTTGTTACTAGACTTTTTTTGGATGATATTACCTGGATATATGATTGATTGTGTATTATTTTGTTATTTGTACAAGATTTATCTTTGACAAACTATACGAATGCTACCAGGGTATATTGGAACCCAACATTTTATCAAGTCCATTGTTTAAAGAGAGAGATGCCAAAGGATCTTGCAAGGAATTGAAGTTGTTTCTTAGCTTGAGTAGGATAGTTTAACTGCCTAGCTTTTGTGATTAGGAGGGTTGCGGTTTTTTGTGGAGTAACGAAATGGTTAAATACCAAAAATGTATCAGGTATGATCAGATTTGAAAAGATATTGGATGTTCTGATTTGTGTGAGTAGCTGTATTGCATGTCAGTTGAATATTACCATTGTGCAAAATATTTTAAATGATGGGATAATATGCTGCTTATGTTTGATGTTAATGTGGTTAATACAATAATGGGATTGGAATTTGATTTTTTTTTTGATATGCAAGCATAAAACACTGAATTTGGTATGCAATAATATGTAGTTTGTCGGATGGGATATGATGGTTTGTTTGTTGGACTTGGTTAAGAGAAAGTGGTCTCACAATGCTTTGGTATGTTTGTTTTATTACTGAGTTCAGTATATGAGCAGAATTTCTAAGATTTCAGAATAATTTTTTGCTAGGTATAGTGTTTCAGAAATTTATGTTTGAGGGGCAATCAGAATGTTTATGTTTGACTGATATCTTATAAATTTTTAATTATAAATGAACCAATTATACACAAACTTGAATGTGATATATTTTGATTACATTTAAAAGAATTAAAATTCAAACATTTAATTTAAATATTTTACTTATTAACTGTAACTGATATATTAACCATAATTGATAACCCTATGCATAATAGCACATCCGCCACCGAATTCATTGTAAAATAAATGAGACGTATTGTGTTATAACCTACTCATTGCATCATATTGTCATGTGATTGTTAAAATTGAGTGGTGAAAGTGTGGTGATGGAAGTTAGCCATACTGTGTTTCTTAAAGTTCTGTTTGTTTGTTTAAGGTGTGGTGCAAGGTTCATAGTTTAATTTATTTGATGCAATATAGATTTTGTGTGATCTGCAACTCATGTCCATGTAAAGTTGGTGGGAAAGCAGCTTTTTGGTTTAAAGTTAACTTGTGTCAATACGCAATCAAAAGATGATTAGACCTAAAATTATTGATTTAAGATATATGAAGCTTTATGATGGGTGAGAAACCATAAGGGAGCATTAATTTCAATATCTTTTGTTTAGCACCATTATGCTTTCTTAGTCTGTTACGTTATAGATAATTTTAAAAGCAAAGTTAACATATTTTGATTTGAAGCAAGTTTATCTTATCTAGTGTGAAATTATAGTTGTGGGTTATTTAATGGCTTTGTTACAGTTATTTGATTGCCGTAAGAAAAAAGTTTGTTGACATGGTTTATTGTTAAGACATTCAGTAATCTTCATTTAAAGTTAGAAAACAATCTATCAAGGAGCACATGTTACTATTACATATCATGTGCTATTTAATTAGTCATTAATCCTTTGTGTAAATAGTTGTATTTAGTCATAATAAATTTTAGTCATTAAGAAGATTTGGTGCTCTAAGTCCAAATTTATTATTAAAGATGCAATGATCTGAAACCTTAAAGCCAATACACACATGCATCAAGTCATTAGTAAAAAATCTCATTGAGCAAACCGAATGTGTGGGGGATAAAATTTTCTCTCTATGGTAGGGTTTCTGACAGTTCATGTGAAATGCTAGATATATTTACTAACTTTTATACTAAGTTTGTAAATCTGTGGAGGTACATGTAGTCTATGTTTTATATGTTTATATATATGATATCATTGTGCAGCAGAACATAGTTTGACAGTCACAATCCTATTTTTGACTACACACCGATGTTCTAGCTTGCAATGAGCAAGCAAATCCACCACTGCAGTAAGTAATGCTTATCCTTCATGTTGCTTAGTGAAAATGCTGACAGTGATTGGAAGAATGCAATGGTTTTGACATTATCTGCCACTCATTCATTTTGTTAGCATAGCTTTCTACTCAAGGTGTTATAATATGCTGACAAAAAAAATGTTGTAACCCATCAGTTAATGTATTAATTTGCTGATTATGGAAGATGTGTTTTATTTGTTAAGGAAAGTAGTATCACAGGGTGATCTCTTAGTTATTAGGTTGATCACTCAATTATTAGCCAAAAGTATCCTAGAAGTATGTGCATTACCTATTTTAATATAGAATGTGAATATATTATAATAAATTTATATTATTCAGTGTATTTTGAAAAAAGTGAGTCTTTCAAACTGTGATCTAAAACAAATCATAATATTTAAATATTGATATATTACTTTTCCTTTTTTAACTTATGGAGAGCTTGGGTTCTTTGTTCTTTTCTGGAGCAAGATTGGTTTCCCTTTCTTTTTCTCTCAAGGATACTTCAAGATGAATGTTTTATGAATGATGTCTCATTCTTTAATATAGGCAGTTAGGCACAGCCATTTAATGGGTTTTGCAGAAACTGGTTTGAAATAAATAGAAAATATATTACTTGCTGTAGTGGGATAAAATATATTTCTCTTAGTTTGCGCTTTGAACTTTTGCTTTTGAATTTAAAAAGTGCAGAGTATCTTATTTTCATGCTTTCAACATTAACTGAGTCCTATTGACATGAGCAAAAAAGAATTCGACTGTTATCAGCAATTGATTTTGTTGTATTCATTAGAAATCATGGTTAAGCAATATCTTTCCTTTTCCATTACTTATGTAATGAATACAACAAACATGTTGATCAATGTAAATAGCAGAGCACGAGTGATTTTCTTAAAAAGGTATGAATGTGAAAATAAACAGGAAAAAAATGTTGGCATGGTAGCCACGTCGATTCCAAAAGTATCAATCAACATCAATAGTCAGATTTAAAAAGATTTTGAAGTAATGAGTTCTGATGTAGCAGTAAGATATGGCAGTATTGTTTTTTGTCCAAAATATTGGCTGACCTGAAATTGTACAACTTGTTTTCTAGCAAAAAATATTTCATCTGAGACCTTTGGATTATCATTTTATGAGTTAGGAAAACTCATCTGAAATAGCCTATAGTTACTTCATCGAGAACTAGCAAAGCTATCATAAAAGCTCATTGTTAAAGTATTAGATGATGGTAAAGGAGAAATGTTATTATATGATAAAAAATAATGATGGTTACGCTTTAATCTGGAGTATGACAATAATCAACTATTATTAAAATGTTGATGTGAACTTGTACTACTTTTTGCCTAATTGAAAAGGTACACAGTTAA